AGAGTTGAAGTTTGGAACGACTCTCATACGGGCGAGGAGTAAGGACCCGTGCAAAAAAAATAGATAAATAAATTCTTGAATTTTGATTTTTATCTCAGAATTCTGAGGAAAATAAAAGAGTTTTTGCACTGTGGTCTTTAAGCTCTTTCGTATTTATTAACCTTAATTTAACCAGGCAAATCCCACAGAGATCACAGATCTACTTTGCAAGGGAGGCCTGGACCTGACGGTAGACTAACATGTATGTTTTTGGTCTGTGGGAGGAAACCGGAGTACCCGGAGAAAACCCACGCAAGCACGAGAAGAACATGCAAACTCCACACAGAAAGACCCCAAGTCCAACAGGGGATTGAGCCCAGGACCTTCTTGCTGTGAGGCAACAGTGCTAACCACTGAGCTACCGTGCTGCCATGTACGTGTACCACTTACTACCTCATCGAATTTGAGCTAAATAGTGTTAAAAGTTACTAAAGGCATTGCTGCGTTGGCTCATGTGGACTAGCTGTGGCGACCATCTTGAATTGGTTTGACTCACAAAGTTCATCAGCTGTGGAAGTTTATGATGATTTCCTGAATGTTTCAATAAAATCCCTTCAGTGGTTCACGAGGTATTTTGTTAATGAACCAACAGGGTTAACTCCAACAGCTGATGCTAAAGTTTTGAACAAACATCTTGTGCAATGTGCCACGCTTGAAGTATATGATAGGTACGACTCTCAGCTACCATGTCGAATAGTGTGAACACTTCTGAAGCTTCCACACTATTGTGATCCATTTTGCTTCCGTATGTTTTTCGGCATATTTCAAAAATATTTAGCCTTTTCTGAAACTTTTTTCTCATAAGAAATTAATTGAGCTCATTTGAACTCCATATCTTTAGATCTGTTTACAAACTTTTACTGCTCCTTTCATTTTGTTCTGCTTCAGCTTCTTTCAGCTTCTTTGTGCAGATTTAAACTTTTTTCCAGCTACTTTCAGCAGTTTTGTGCTCTGTTCAGATTATTTCTGCTAACTAAATTTTTGTGCTTTTTCTAACTTCCTTTTGCAAATATCAACTTGTTATGCTCATTTCAGCTTATTTCTGCTTCTATTTAGCTTTTAAAGCTAAATAATAGCATTATTTTATTATTATTTAGCTTTTAAAGCTAAATAAGTTATTGTTTAGCTTTTTATGCTAATTTTAGCCTTTTCAGTTAATTCTGCTTTTTTTTTGCACTCCTTTCAACTTTTTCAGCCTAATTCTAAAAAAAAAGCTCTCTCCACTTCCTTCTGGTAATTTAAGCTTCTTTCTGCCTTTTTAGCTACTTTTTTGTCTGTTTATGCTTATTTCAGCTTTTTCAGATGCTTTCCACTATTTTGTGCTCATTTCTGATTCTTTCAGCGTACCGTAATTAACTTCTTTATGCTAATTTCAGCTTTTTCTGCCCTTTCAGCTACTATTAGCCTTTTAGATGCTGTTTTTAGCTTTTTCAGATGAGTCTTTTTTTTTTTTTTAGCTCATTTCAGCTTTTTCTGCTTCCTTCAGGTAGCTTAATCTTCTTTCTGCTTTTTCAGCTGTTTGATTTTTTTTGTGTGCTAATTTCAGCTTCTTTTTTTTTTTTTGCAAATTTCCAAAATTTTGTGTTCACTTCTGTCCATTTAAATCTAATTCAGTAAATATGTGTCCTTTCTGCTTTCTTCTGCTAAATTAGGCTTGTTCTTCCATTTCAGCATTTTTTTTTTTTTGGCCAACTTCAGCTGTTTTTCCATCAAGTTCTTCTGCAATAGGCATTCACAATGCATTTTCTCAGGAAATGCAGTTTCTCTAGATTTGCCTTGATATCTGTAAAATTGGCTGAGTTTGGTGCATTTTTGTTTGCAAAGATCGATTAGCTATGGCAGCCATCTTGGACTTGACTGACTCCAAAAGTAAATCAGTTGTCGATGTACATCCGAGAAATGTTTTAAAAAGTTTCAATAAAATTATTCCAGTTGTTCATAAGACATTTACTTTTAAACAAACAATCTGTTAGCGCTCAGAGTACGAGTTGGGGATCACTCTCAGCTACCTTCTTCTTCTTTCGGCTGCTCCCTTCTTCAGGAGTCGCCACAGTAAACAACTCCCATGAAGACTTGACAATCGTTTTTACGCCGGATGCCCATCCTGACGCTACCACAGCGCTCTGTGTGGAGCAGGAAGGTGCCATCAAGGGCACCCGGGGGAGCAGATGGTGGGGGTTAAGGGCCCTGAGTGGGGCACGAGGGTGGAGGCAGGTGCAGGTGTTTCACCGTTTCCACCCACATTTTTGATGTCGGTCCGGACAGTCGAACTGGCAACCTTCTGATCACTGCCCCACTGAAAATCTTTAGCTCAGCAGCTGCAGGAGTTGTAGCCATTTTTACGTCTTTAATGTCAGTTGGCTGTGACCAGCTTCAGCTGCACTGACTCCAAACGTTAAATAGTTAAAGACGTGCATCCAACAATTACTTGCTGCAAGTTTAACTAAAAAGTTGTTCAGTGGTTCATGAGATATTTTGCTAACAGACACAGCCAAGACCACAATTGTCCTCATTTGCCTTTTAGCAACTGGCAACAAAGTTCCCTGCTGACATGGCTGTAAGTCACCGTTTGAGTGTGCGGAGGATTTTCCACAGCTTTCAGCAGCGTACCTGAGCAGATGAAAGGATAAACACCACACTGTTGTGTTTGGACTTTTCTGACATGTTAAAGCTGCTCGAAGCGGTGATAACCCCCCCCCAACAATAAGGCTTTTCACTTTTCTCCCTTCTTTGGCTTGATTGCTTTTTAACAGCTGCCGGAGTTTGGACGGACTACAGTCGGAAGAAGAAAAAAGAGAAAAAGAGCCTCCAGACAGAGCAATTATGGTTTTATTTACCAGTTCTCTTTCACTCCATCTGCCCTCTTTGCTCCTCCGTCACATTAAAGTCAGACTTCTTCATGTGATTTCTGTCACATTAAAAACTTTTTGGACACATGGAACTTGTGGGCGCCAAACAATTAGGTGTAATAAGACAACTTCTGTACAGCCGGAGGCCCTAAATGACGTGCTTCAGAGCGAGGGGGAAATCCACTTGGGTTTGAAAACTTAATAAATCTTTTGCTTCGTCTGAATGACAGGAAGGTTTAATAACCTTAAGAAATGATTTCTCAGAAAGTCTGCAGCCATCAAACTGTGTCTGAGACGTGGATAAAGATGTATTTATGCTCCTCTTTGCCCACAGGATGAAAATGCACCGCAGACAAACAAAAAGCCGATTGTTTAAAGCCGACATGCAAATCTGCAGAGCGCTTACAGAACAGCTTCGAACAAACGCGTCTGTTCGTGCAAACTGTGGACACCACTCGAACTTCATACAACAGATAGGACAAGATAATGTTGCAAAATATCTCGTGAAACACTGAATTGATTTGAATTAAACTTGTAGGAAGTAATGACTGGATGCACATCTACAACTGATCAACTTTTGGAGTTAACCCAATTCAAGATGGCCACCGCAGCTAATCAACCTTAGCAAACAGAAAAGTGGCTGTAACTTTGTTATTTTTATACAAATTGAGCTGAAATTCTGTGTGTTTGTAGCTGAGACTTCATTTCAACATATACATTAAGTGCTACGCTTTGTGTGAGATATTTGCTTTAAATTTTAGCAATAAGTGTTTTGAGTTCACCTTGCCTGTTAGCAAAATATCTCATGAACCACTGGACAAGATTTAACAAAACTTTCAGAAAGTAACCGCTCTACAAAATAAAATCTTTTGGAGCTAATCCATTTCAAGATGACTGCCACAGCTAACCAACATTATCCAGCACACAAACGTTTATAACACAAATACCTTTATAGACATTGAGCTAACATTTGGTGTGGTAGTAGCCGAGAGTCATTTTCAACACACAACCCGAGTGTGATCTCATGAACAAGTGCACTTTCAGCACAAGTTAACCTTTGTCTTAACGTCTACAATGGAAGGCGGTGGGCGATAACATAAAGGAATGCCAGGTCTTTAATTTGAAGGGTTTAACAGAGGCCTGAATTTTATATATATTTAAAAAAAAAAAAGATCTGGACAGATTCATAACTGCAAACTTTTCACTTCTTGTTCTGCAAAGCTATAGCTGCCCAACTTTTGAGTAAACAACCAAAATGGATTACAGACGAGGGCACAAGTTCAGCTGCAATCAGTTTTTATTGTTGTTGCAGTTTTGACTCATTGCCCTCACTGCGTTTATCACAAAACTCATAAAAGATGTCAGAAAAACCAGCTTCGCCCTCTGGAACCAGACAGCCAGGGTCTGTGCACCACCCAGTGGTGGCTTCAACATGCTAAAAGATACAAATCTGCAAAGGTCACAAAAACATGACCGTTTATTTACATCGTTTTAAACTAAATCAATTTTTCAAAAGGAGAAAAATACAGAACTGCTGACGAGAACTGTAAAAAAAAAAGCAAACCTGCATAAACAGTTTATGAAAACAAACAGCATGTTAAGGGTTAAATTGCCTTTTTAAATTTAATGCAGTAACATGCATAAGCAAAATCAGCCAGTTTATCCTGTTATCCATCCGTCAGGTAGAATTGTTCTTATTAATTTGAAGCAATGTTTAAAACTGATCCAAATTTAAATTTTTCTTTATTTTCAAAGAAACGTGTTTAGTTTTCCAAGGCTAGCACCAGAGTGCGTACATGTTAAGACCAAGTGAAGCGATGAGAATAAATTATGAAACAAAAATCAGAAGTTTGCTTTAATTCAAAAGCAGGCACGTTCTAGTTAAAGCTGTTTAAAACAAAGGACATCAGTGAACCTGACAACAAAAACAACCGAGTTAACACCACAGAAATATTCAAGCGTGAGGAACTAAATGACCTGAATAAAGACTGTGGCTGTACAGAACGTATCTGTTAAAACCAGAACTCGCAAATGAACTCGTCAACCTTGAAGATGTTAGGGCTGTGAGACTGACGGCTCACGATCGTGTCACCTTCCAGGTGTCTTTTAGTTTCACACGTAGTTGATCAGATCGTTATTTTCCTCCTTCTGTTTCTCCACCGTTCGGCTCATGGCGTCCAGAAAACCCTTGAGGCTTACCGTTGGTGTCTGGAGACAAACAAAAAGAAAGCGTTTTAAAAACAACATTTCTCTTTGTTTTCACGACAAACTAAAACTCAAAGCGTACCTTTACGAAAAGTGCATGAGCTAGAAATGGTAACTTCCGGAGTGCTCTTCCGCTCAAACCTTTGCTTTTCCTGGAGTTCAAAGAAAGCGACAATGGAAGGGAGCGTTAAACTCTGGTTGTTTGGCTCGTGCTGACGCTGGTCGGTCTACTCACTGAGCGATGGCCCTCAGCCTCAGACTGTGCTCGGACACCTCGCTGTCAGCGAAGCCCATCGTCTCCAGCTCGTACATGGTGAACAGCTGCTGCCGGGGGTAAACGATCTGACACTGGATGGAGCATGAAGCAGACTCATTAGACCGCATGTGTCAAACTCCAGGCCTGGGGCCTTGATAACATCACATCTGGCCCTCTAGATATTTTAAATGTTAAATATTTTGTATCGCCTCTCGTTTTGCTTAAAAACCTGCCATACTTTAGTGCAGACTTGTCGTGACAGGTGGTCATGTTTGAGGTCAAGAACATCTGGTTTGTTTTATTATTCAGCAATCTTTGATTTGGACGTGGAAAGAGCAACAGAAAACGTTAAATGAACCTGCAGCCAAGAAAACATGTCACGTGTTTGACCTGAGTTATTGTACTTATTGAAACCGGCCCTTTTGGTTTGAGACAAGTATTTTGTGCTTCTTTAACTTCTTTCTGAAACTTTCAGCTTGTTATGCTCCTTTCAGGTCAGGTGATAAATCACCAAATTTCAAACAACTACGCATTATTTTGAAGCTTTTGAGATGGAGAATTTAAAAATAATATGAACTCTGTACTGAAAAAAAATTCACATTGTGACTCATTTTACCAGCACAGGTCACATATTTCATTAAATCATAAACATCAACCATAGAAAACTAACATATGATCAGCTTTTAGTCCATCTCATTGATTTGTCCTGATCCTTAGCTTGCTGACCACGTGTCACGGTTTTGTTTCAAAGCCTTTACCAAAACCTCAAACTCCAACAAACTACAGCTGCAAAAGCAAAACTAACATCTCTCAGAAAGCTCCTAGAATAAAAGACAAAACAGTCAAAAATTCCTGATACAACGTTCTAGGATTACAGTGTCCTGCGCAACGAAGAATCTCCACCAACAAACTCTCAAAGGTTCACAAACAACTTGGTGTCACTTCAGAGCATCTCCAGGGACTTTATGAAAACGCGAAAACATGAAGCCAACGTGTCTTAAAACTAACAACCAACAAAAGGTAAAAAAAACGACATCTGTCTTCAGTAAAACTCCTATTTCACACTTCTATTTTTTTTATTGTGAAGTCCCCAAATTGTTTTTCAGGCGTCCGGCTGAGACGCAGCCCTTCCACTGCTTTAAATAAACGTGACAACAAAGAGCTGAGGCTTAAAACATGTCGTGTCTGCAAACCAATAAAAGACGCCCCGGAGGCCGAGTCCATTTGTTTTTAGCACCAACATAAACATCATGTCCTCTATAATTCTGTTGCATCAAGACAGTAAAACTGAGTTCCCAGCGGAGTTTGAGGAAGAAACACTTCAGTTTTTCTTATAAAGACATTTGAGCCAGTGTTGTAAAAAGTTATTGTTGGCGAACAAGCGGGTCACCTTCATCAGCTCCTCGAGACACGAGAGGTAGATGTTATAGATGCCTTTTTCCGACGGAGGTCCGATGTACTGCTTGATGTCTGCTCTGTCCACAAACGCCAAGTCGATCTTCTCTGTCACGTTGGACGTTGTCAGGATGACCACGTTGGAATGCCTGCATAAATAAACCCCGAGTCGCAAAGCAAAAAGAAACAAGGTCTGTAAATGTACGTTTGGGGCAAATTATACCGCATTATAGTAACGTTCTGGTTTCTGACTGTTTGATCTGATCCAGCTGAGTGAGGACGGAGTTGACCACTCGAATGGCGTCAGAAGGCTCTGTTCCTGCCTGACAGGCGTTCCTCGCTGCCGTCAGACTCTCCACCTACAGGAATTCATCACAAAACAGCTACGGTTTACACCACACACGTGGACAAGAGACTTTTCATCCATCTAAAACAGGGGTGTCCACACTTTTTCATCATGTAAGCTAATTTTAAAATGACCAAGTCAAAGTGATCTATCTACCTGTTCACACGAGAACAACCTCTGGAAACTGTAGTGGGTTTTCAACGTTTATTATGGGTAATAAACAAAAAATGAGTGGGTTTACATGAAAAACGCTGTAGTTTCCATGTCAGTCGGGTTGCCAGATAAGAAATTATTAACTATAGTACTGTCGCTTTAAAATGATAGTATTTTGACCTAAACTGTCATATGTGCTGAGTAAAGATATTCTAAGGCCCTGTTTATACGAGAACAATTTCTGGTGAAAATGGCAGAGTTTCATTGCGTTTGTTCTGTTCATTTACACAAAAATAGCAAATGTTTTCTCTGACAACTGCACAATTTGAAAACAGGCTCCTGAGTGCAATGTTTCAAAAACGTCCCATTGTCGTGTAAACAGAAAAAAAAAAAAAAAAAAAAAGGTATTTTCTGTCAGGGAATCCCTGGCACATGCACAGTATGACGTAAAGCATAACTTTTTCCTATAATCCACCGAAGAAGAAACTATCGACAATGGCAGATACCAGAGTATTGTTTGTGCTACTGACTTATAAATCGAACTACGGCTCTCCAACACAGTGCATATTTTCTATCCCTTTACTTAAACAATCGAATATTAAATAAAAGGCTTTTTTTAAAGCTTGCACATTGCAAACTTAGCGTTTCAAGTTTCAAAGAACATAGCACCAACTAGTGGTGCGGTGGAGGAACTACACTGTTTCCACATCTACCATTGCTGTGTAATTGTGTAAATCAGAGATTGTAATTAAAATGTTTTCATATAAATGTGTTAATAGAAATGGGGGAAAAAATTCTGTTTTCATGTGATCGTTGTCGTGTATGTAAACAGGGCCTAAGAGGAGGTGTGTGTTGTGTTTGTTGAACATGTGCACAGAAAAGGAGGTAAATAAGATGTTTTAAATTTATCTGGCAACACTGATGCAGGGCTCAGTTGCATTCACTGTGCATGCAGTGTCTGAACGACAGTTGTCTAAACTTGTGAACACACCAACGTCTCTTTGGACACTGGATTTTATTAGTTTTGCTTCTACATGATGAAAAAGGGGGAGTAGCACAAAAATCACTCTGCTCTTTGCCATTTATTATAACTGTTGCTAGTGCAGAAAAACTTTAGATTGCAGCTGCGTGTAGTGCACATGTGCGACTTCACACTTGCGGAGCATTTTACACTTCAATGGGAGGTTCCCCCAAAATTTTCCACTCTGAGACCTGGTTTGAGAGAATGAGGGCTGTGACTGGCTGCACTGTATGTCAATCAAGAGACAAATTTCATAGTGAGGAAGGATGTTAGGCTAACTTCTATTTTTTTTAATGCCATGTGATCTACCCATGAAGCCTTTGCGATCAACCGGTAGATCGCGATCGATGTACTGGGCACCCCTGATCTACAACATTGCACTGAATAGATTTAAAGTGTTTTTTGTTTACTCCTAAATGAGACCAGACCTCATCAATCAGAACAAACACGAGAGCGTCTTTGTCAACGATCAGCTGCTGGATCTTCTGGAACATCTTTGTGACCAGCTTACCGCTCTGCAACAAAAAGACAAGATCAAAAGAGAGAAAATCAGCCAAGACAACCTCCGGCTAATTTATTTGTTACAGAAAAGAAAACCAAAAAAGGTTTACCTCTGAAAACCACTTTGAGAACAAACTGTGACTGTTTATCTCCACAAACTGCCCGTACGAATACCTGCAGGGGTAAAGAATGAACTGCGAGATGAAAAGAGCCGCTGGAGTTGAAGCCGAAGTCGACGATGCTCTGAAATGAATACCGTCTTACCGATTCGACAGTCTGATTGACAGTTTCTGGGCGAGAGCTTTGCACAGCGATGTTTTCCCCGTGCCCGGGGGTCCTAAATGAGAGCGGAGAGATAAATTGTTTAAACTCGTTATCTGGCAGGATCTCAGTCGACCAAAACTTTTCATTTACCGTGAAGCAGCACGACACGGTTCCACGAAATCAGGTTGTTGTCAACGTTTTTGTCCGAGAAGTACATCGTTGTCGTCACATAATCCAGGAGCTGAAGGAAAACATGCACACCGTCAAATTAAGCCAGCCTGATGGCGATCCATCTGCAGCTGTTCGTCGTTACTTCACCTTGGTTTTCACTCCAGTCTCGTAAACAAGACTTTCCCAGATCCCGTGAAATTCGGCTGTTTCAAAAGAGAAGAGGTTTTTTTTCAGAGGTGGTCACATCTTAATGAGCTGAAGCACAAAAAGTGTTTTTCCTTTGACCTGGTTCTAGTTCTTGTTTGATCGTGATCTTAAAAATATTTACAGCTCTTATGAGTTCTTGTGATGAAGCCACATATTTCAAGTTTTGATTGTTCTATTTCTAATCACTGCAACCGTTTCCATTGGTAAACAAACACACATGGTGACTGGCAGTCGTTCACAAGTTTTGCTTACAAAGTTTGACTTTATGGACACATTAACTGTTGATATGTGAAAAATAACATTATATTATTATTGTTTAGCATATATATTAGATCTTTATATACTGTATCTTTATTATACTTAATATTTTTGCTATATTTGGGTGTAACTGGGACGTCGAGTACACAATTTTGTTCCACCTCATGTACCACATATGATGCGAATGACAATAAAAAACCTTGAAAACAAATGTGGGGATTTTTTTTTTTTTTTTTTTACCAGTCTTCATGACTTTGCATCAAATGCCTTTAGAACAATTACAAATCCAGTTTCCATAAAACACAAAAAAAGACAATAAAAATGTGTAAACAAAGCAGCTTGTTGGGCACCCAGTGTTCACACCGCATCAAATTTTATCGATTGGGAAGATTTTTGAGACTGGATAATAATAATAATAATAATAACAATAATAATAATAATAATAACTAAGGTTAAAACTGACTTGTTTCTGGATCGTGTCCTCTAAATCACGACAAAAAAAAAGGAATGATGTTTGTGGAAAAAATAGCTTAAAATAAAAGATCTTAATAAAAGCAGAGAAAGAAAAACAAGCAAAACTAACATCTGAACTGGTTTCAGCACTCCTTTGATGATGAAAAAAAACCATCTAAATTAGTACAAAATAATAATAAAGAAATTCATTCCTGAAAAGGGTGAGGTGTAGATATCACGTGTCAGGCTTCAGATTAGATTTAGATGTTTTTATTTGCATGTGCTTACACTTGAGAAAGATTTGTGGAAATTAAATAACTGAAGCATTTGTTTGTTATAAACTACCATGGTTCAACCAACCTACACCTTATTATTCATATCATTTTGTTTTATTTGTGTATATGGATTTTATTTTAAAGAAGTCTGTATTTAGTTGTCCCGTGATCTTTTTGTTCTACCCGTCTCTTCCTCTGAGCTTGACAATGTTCCACACCGTCAGTGTTTTGGCCAAATAAAATGACAAATTACAAAACACTGAGCATCCAAATACAGATAGCATAAAGATGCCATTTGGATTGGTACGCAGCCTCTTTTCCCTCATGGATCAAGTAAATGTTAGTTCAGTGACCTCTCTCTAACAGACGGGGTGCTTTTAATACAAAAAACTCTAATCCTACACATAATACACTTTAAACATGAACAAGATTTTTGCTGAGTCACCTGTTGGCAGGAGCCAATGACTTGCTGCTGAGAGCTCCTCATCCTCCTCTAAACTGAGCATGCTGGGCCCTTCATCGTTCAGAGTGAAGACGTGAATGAAGACTGAGCAGCTCTTTAAATCAAGGGGCTAAACGAGAAACAAGATAAATATATAACCAGCTGTGTGGAATTATTACACTTTTATAAAAAAACTTTGTTTAAAAATAAACTCAAAACAGACCAAAACGACTAACCTGTGTGATCATTTCCTCCAGATCAACTATGGCCACTGACTCCACATGCCTCTGCAGGAACTCCTCATCAAACTCTGTCCACCTGTAGTTTCCAAAAACCATGCTGTGGCGATTCAGTAGAGCCTGGACGTGCATCTTTACCTCAGAGAGTTTTGCAGTGCTGCAACAGAAACAGATAAAATCAGATGGCCCACTGTATGTTAAAGCAGCGGTTTTCAACAGTGACTTATTTAGCAACATCCTGCAAGGTCGACTTAAAGTTGCCTTAATTCTCTGCTGCGTAGATTGACATGGCAAATAGTTTCTTACAAATTTTGAGTTGGGCATGGTGGCTGTAAGGGGACTGAGTTATTTCATGATTTCAGGTCTATCTGACTGGAGGCTAAAGAAAGCACCGTCAGGTTCAGCATGAGATGAAATGAGCTCTGTAGCACAGTCAGCTGTCATTCAGAAGCTGTCCTCAGCAGATAAAGGCAATGGTTTTGTAAAATAAAACAGCATTAAGGAAGACACAAAAGGTTAAATCAGGTCATCTGGACAGTTTCTTTTTTTTGGGGGGGGGGGGGAGAAATGTTTCCTGATTTAACTTTTTTTGTATTTATCTACCTGGATGATTGAGCTTACAAACCTTTTCTACAGCATTAATGAAGGTTATAACCTATGAGTAATGCTCATTTTCTATTAATAGGGTAAAAAAAATTAGACCAACTTGTTTTTTTTTGTTGGTAAGCTTGTGCCAAACTTGCTGTGATTTCACCTGCTTGGACATGTAGTTTGTTCATTAGTCCCCTTTCAAACCAGCTACTGTAGTGTTATCTTTATCCAGAAACTATGATTCATTTTGTTGCAAATACTTTGGCATTAAATATAAAAATTTAAGTACTAGATCCAAGTTTCTAAAAAATATAAATAAAAAAGTAAATGTGGTCTGTGGGGTTTAAATTCTCAACAAGTGTTTTATTTTACTTTATTTTAGAGGCAGGGCACTAAATAGTATCAATGATAGCTCATGGAGGTTAAAAAAGCCCATTAGTACTTGAAAAATAATTCAAAAGTACGCTATGCGATTAAAGATGTGTTTGAAACTTTTACTTTGAATTTGTTGGGATTAAACATCTCCAGTGGGTTTTACTTACTATCATTCACTTGACTCACCTGAAAGATTTAACGTGGACCTCCACGTTGATATTTTGTTTGGTCGCCACGTCCATTCTGTCAACATCCATTTTAGTACTGCTGCAGCGACAAGAACATCATTCAGAAACGTACACAACACAAATCGAGTTTTATAACTCCGCTGCGCTAGATCCCATCCAAAGGGATTCAGCTACTTACTCTCACTTTAAAAGAAATCAAATTTGAATTAATTAATAAGACTGGAAATAATGAATATGCTATCAATAAATTTGATTATATTAGCTAAACATTATGTTCATAAATGTCGTTTTTTTCAAATGTAAACCTAATGTGAACCACTGGAAGAATGAGCTAAAGTCCTATGCAAAATCATTAAAATATGTAAAAGGAAAAAATGCTGGCAAATTTCTTAGTTTCTTGGTTAATTTCAATTTCCTCATATACTGCCTTATTTTTTTATTTTATCCTTCAATATTTCTTTTATTTCCATTATGTTATGAGTCACCTTTAGTAACTTTCGATTGTAAGAATTGGTACTTTTTGTTTTGTATTGTTATGGTTAAATAAAGTAAAAAAATAAAAAAACAAAATAAAAAAACTCCGCTGCGCTAGCTAACTAGCTCATATACGTAAATCGTCAAAGCTGCAACTAGATGAATAAAAAAACAAGTTAAAAATATTTAAACGCACCTTACAACGTCTGTCAAATCATCTGTCAAATCAATAGCTTGTATCAAATCTTTTTGGCTAGTTAACGACAGGCTGACGAAAGCCGACAACAACGGTAGTTGAACTCAGCGCGCTGATTTGTTACCCCGGAAGTACAAATCCCCCCCGGAAGTACAAAGTCACTGTGAAGGTTTTACATCCGGTTTTTATTTGTTGCTGCTAATATTGTTAGCTTGTGTTGTCCGGTTCGTAAACAGTGGGAGGGAAACTGAAGTAAACACAAGACTTTGACAGTAAATAAAGACAATATGGGGAAGAAACACAAGAAACACAAACCGGAGTGGATGACAGTTGGTGGTACCTGGTTATTTGTTTTACTATTAGCTTTAGCCGATCCGCTTTTGTTGTAGCTAGCTTTTATGTTAGCGAGTGTAGACTAGTAACTAACAGCTCAGCTGTTAGATAGCAGATAATATTCTTTGCAAATTGAATTTAAATGTGTTTTTATGTTTCCGTTTGCATCAGTTAATTTTTTAAAATCTGAAGGGCAGATATAGAAGATGGTGTGTTCACTGGTGTCTGCAATAAAGAAACATGTTTTTCTAGACTAGAGTCATAAATGTTTTTCGAGTTTTTGAATGAAAGCTAATGAATATTACAAAGATTTTACATAAATATGCTGCGTTTTCTGTTAAACAACTTTGTTAGAACAAAAGCACAGAAAATATACAATCAAGCAATAATACTTTCTGCTTTTTGTGCTTTACCTCATTGACATCTTGCAGTTTCATTATTCAGTGATGCAGTATTGTTAGTAAAACTGAAGGGGAAAAAAAAACATTATTTCACAAGATGGAGGACACCTAACCTTGTAGTGTTGAGGTCCAAAAGCAGTGGATTGATAGTTCTGGCTCAGTGGCCATTTTTACAGTTATATTTTACTTCACTGTGTTTGGATGTTTTACGCTAAATCTGAATCACTTTCTATAAACAGCTACAACTTAAAGATATTCAGCTGTTGTAATTAGTATATGAACAAAGTTTTGAGCACAATTTAAATAGAAGTATCAAGTAGATTTGCTTGTAGATTAATATTTTTTGTCTTAAATCAAGCAGTGGTTGTCTACACATTTAGTAAATCCTTAAATATGCCATTACAGTAAAAGTGGTAGCCATTAGTCATTTTCAGAGTTGTACTCAAATTTTGTACAAATTAGAAAATCCTTGTATGGACACTTCTGTCATGCATCACTGTTTGAGCTAACACTGTTGTCCCTTTCCTAAATATTATATTTATTATAATATTTATTATTGCAGACTTTGAGGATAAAGCCCTTGAGAAGCCCCTGAAGATCAAGCTGAAGGTTGGAGGAAGTGAGGTGACAGAGCTCTCTGGTTCGGGCCTCGACTATGACGACAGGTCAGACCACGAGCGAGAACGCCACAAAGAGAAGAAGAAAAAGAAGAAGAAAAAGTCTGAAAAGGATAAAGAGAAATATGGTGATGAAGAGGAGAGAAGGCGGCGGAAGGTTAGTACACAGTCCACACGATGTGCTGCATCTTTTAATGGTTTTATTTTAAATAGCAGTTTATTTTAAAATTGACTCAACTGGCAGGAGGAAAAAAGGAAGAAGAGAGAAAGAGAGCAGAATGAATTGGAGGCATCAGCTGCAGCTTGTGGTGGCGCACCTGTTGAACCATTCACACTGACAAAAACTATAAGTATCTCATTAGAGGTGAGAAAGTAAATATTCTTTTCGTTATGAGTGATGAACTCCCATTGATTACGTTTCACTGTTGTTTATGTTCTGTTTGTGTATCATCAGCCAGAGGAGAAGAGAAAAAAGAAAGAGAGGTTAGAAGTAGAGGATGAAGTAGAAGAGTTTCACCCCAGTGTGAAGGTGGAAGTTGAACAGCAAGGAGACAGACCCGTTAGAGCATGCCGAACGCAACAAGGCAAGAGTGCTGCTCATCAACACAGCTGATATTTCTGGTTATGTGCATGTAGAAGTGTCAGTAATAGTTTGTTTTCTACATGCAGAGAATGAGTCGACTCCTCGTCAACAACTGCTTGAACACTTTTTGAGGCAGCTGCAGAGGTGAGAAACAGATTTACTCTTAATTTTTGCATCTGTTTCAGTTTTCATCCACACAGATGGACATAGATAGACTGAGAATTACCCAAAATTGAGTGTTCTCAGCGACTATTAGTCACTGAGGTTGAATTATTTTCTTGTGGGATCTTCTTTTTACCCAGCATTATAAATGCGCACAGTAGGCACATTAACATGACATTTCCTAAAAAATACAAGGAAATATCCTAAAAATAATTTTCGCTGTAGGATAAAACCTTTACGGTTTTGACCCAGTTTTTTTTTTTTTTTTTTTCCCTCAAAAGCTAATTTTGCATAAATCCTCTTTGGCCTAAAATCAACATAACTTCAGTTTGATTTCATGGCTTTCTTATTGCGTAAACAGAATCCTAAAAATAGCTTCATTTTTATGTTGTTTGATACAGAACATGTTTAATAGCATGTATAAAAATAATAAAGTATTACTAACTCAACAACAAGCTATTTTTAGTGAATCTGTTTTGCTCTTAGTGAAGCAGTGAGGGCTTTCATTTTACACTTTTTTATCAATATAAATGTAAGTTAAATTTAAGTGCTAACAAACTGGAACAAGTTCAATTAAAAAAAATCTTGTAAAATGTTCTAATTGATTAATACAAATAGTGCACAGTATTGTGCTGGTGAAGATTCATCCAGGTTGTCAATCCAAAAAAAGTTGAAAAACAAAACAACTGGACTTTTATTCTGAAGCTGAAGATGTTTATAAACCCTCCTGAAATGGAAGCGAATCAGCTTCAAAATAAAAATCTAGTTGTTTTGTTTTTCAATTTTTTTTTGCGTAATGCGCAGTATTCATTTATACAGATTGTATTGTTTTGTTTTTTTCCTCACGTGCTGCAACATAATTAGACGAGAACTCTCCACTTAGCGGTTTAAACAAGTCTGAAAGCTGCTGTCGGTGATCAAAATGATGATATATCTCTGTCTTTTCAGAAAAGATCCCCACGGATTCTTTGCCTTTCCAGTAACAGATGCAATCGCTCCCGGTTACTCGTCCATCATCAAACATCCGATGGACTTCAGCACCATGAAAGACAAGATTAGAAACAACGACTACAACACCGTAACTGAATTCAAGGTGAGGATATATTTAAAAACAAGAAATAAGCTGGATACTGGTCTTCGGAGAATACCAAACTTCTTAAAGTAATGATTTGTCCTCTTATATGGTGGAACTGATTTTATTTTGTTAAAATTCCAGGCGGACTTTAAACTGATGTGTGACAATGCCATGGTATACAACCGACCAGAGACTGTTTACTACAAGGCTGCGAAGAAACTTCTGCACACAGGATTCAAGATGATGAGCAAGGTGCCATTTCAGAGAAGAATTCTAATAACGAAAATATTATATATATTATTCAATAGACAGTATTCCCTCGTTTATTGTGGGGGTTTCCATTCTCAGTCCACCCGCGATAAGTGAAAAACCGCGAAGTAGGGATAGTAGTACATGTAAGTAGTATATATATATATATATATATATATACATATATATATATATATACATATATATATATATATGTACACGTGTATATATATATATATATATATATATATATATATATATGTGTGTGTGTGTATGTATGTATTTTAAACCCTTCCCCCTCTCTTGCAATATTCTAAACAATGTTTAAAACTCTAAACGCTCTAACAGAGCACAGCATGTCATGATCTCCTCTCTGCCACCTGCTAGTGCTCTCAGCCACACTCTCTTCTCCGCTGCTGAGCGGAGATCATGACATGCTGCAGCAGGAAGCTTCTCCTTGCGCATGTGGGCTGCACACAGGTGCTAAATAATTAAAAATAATTAATTTTAAATAAAAAAAATCCATGCCGATCTTGCGGCTCATCCATCCATCAGCCAATTGTGTGTCATGTCCAATCTTCGAAAAACTGCAATAAAGCGAGTCCATGAAAAATGAACCGTGAAGTAGCGAGGGACTTCCGTATATAATTCTTAATAAAACATCAGAATGTAGCTCCCTTTATAATGTGTTTAAGAACATTGCTGCAGTTCTTGCTTTATATCTTACACTTAATTTTTTAAGTCATTAGGTGTTAACACAAGTGTTATATCTTGGAAAAAGATGCTCGTCTAAATACTGTTTTGATTTTTAACATGTTTTTACAGATTTAGGCAAATTATCTTAACTTAGAGTCAGATATTAAATCATATACTTAAAAATCAACATACATTCATGTCATTTCAAATCCAGATATATGAACATGTTTCCAGAAACCTTTAAGCATATTACTGTATTTTTATACCCACACATTGGCAGACATGGGCTACTGTGATTTTCAAAAGTTTATTCATATATTAAAAATATGTCCTTTTTATTTTACTCTTTTCAGAAATAATTTTTTTTAACTCAATATCAATTATAACAGACTCTTTAAAAAAAACTCAGACAAGTTTATTTAAAGCTTTAATGTGGTCATTGTTGAGGAAGAACAAGCATCGTTGTGAATCCATTAAATCTGTATTTTTAAAACTGATTTGGACACCTTAGATTTAATACGAGTTTAAAACAAAAGGCAAGATGAACCCAAAGAACAAACTTTAGAAAGAATGCCTCTAGAGTCAGATGGTATGCAGTTAATGATGAAATATATTTAAAGCGCTGACTTTTCTAGTAGCTGAGGGGTTTGAAGTCTTCTTAAAGATTCGGCACATTTGGATGTTGTAGCCAAAGGTTAGTCAGTCTTTATCAAAATGCTGGGATGTAGTGTAACTGTTTCTGCCAAGCATCGTTCTCATTATGTATTTTTATCCATAAATTGCCACCCGAGCAGATTAGATGAAGCCCTTCTCTTTTTCCCTTTTATTCTGTGTCCAGGAGCGTCTTTTGGCACTGAAACGCAGCATGTCTTTCATGCAGGACATGGATTTCTCCCAACAGGCAGCCATTTTGGGAGATGAAGACCTGACAGCTGATCTCCCTCCTCCAGAGATTATACCCATCCCCGTTGAATCTGCAAAAAAGTCCAGAAAACAACCAGCCAAAGATATGAAGTGAGCTATCAGGCCCATCCTTATCTGTGTTGAAAATAAATGACTTTTTGTACAAGTAGGGAATGTTTTATTGCCAAACAAGTACTGAGCATCTGCTGGCACTTTTAATCACTTTGTCTGATGGTGTGCATTCTCAGTTACCTTTTTGAACCTGAGGGAAACGCGTGCAGCTTGACTGACAGCACAGCAGAGGAGCACGTTCTGGCTCTGGTTGAACATTCTGCAGATGAAGCACGTGATCGCATTAACAGATACATGCCGAACTCCAAGGTGCTTCATGTTTCTTACTGTTTATATATTTATGCTCAGTTTTGTGTAATTTCCAATTGAAATTTATGCTGTTTTCTCTGCTCTGGGTGGTTTCAGATGGGTTATTTAAGTAAAGACGCAGATGGTTCTCTTGTATATAATGTTGTGAATCAGCTTGATCCTGATGCAGAAGGTTTGTTACGATTGAGGAATATATTTTAAAACACTTTTTTTTCCTCTTGTAAGAAGCTAAACCTGTTCTTTTTTTTTTTTTTTTTTTTGCAGAGGAGGAGACCCACAAAGTGGATCTGACTTCTCTGTCTAATAAGCTTCTGCCTGGATTGACAACATTAGGTTTTAAAGATGATAGAAGACATAAAGGTAGGAGCAGATATATATATGTATATATTTTTTTATTTGTTTTTAAACTTTCTGTTAGATAAATATCTTTCATCATCTGCTTACTCAAATAAGCCACTCTGAGGATACGAGAAGACTTATTAACCGGTTTTACTTGCTCATTCAAAACAGCCTACACACACAGATATACAATGCATGGATCATGTCACTGAATGAGCATTGAACAGTTTGCTGCAGACTTTTATACAGCAGGAGGGTCCAGCAGGCGTTCCCTCATAGCCAGCTGCAGTCAGATCCATGGCTGTCGGCTAGTCGGCCTCCAGCTGGAGATAAGGGAATGTTGTGGGCATGTTCTTATGGCGTCAACAGCAGTGAGGCACTGTGAACCGGCAAGCTGGCCTTCAGGCCGAGACGAGAGAATGTTTTGTGCACACATTACAGAAAGATGTTCTCAGCCATAATAAATTCTCACTTTCTTCCAGCAAGTATTTTTTAGTTAATAAACATTTGACCAATCTTTCCTCTTTCTTGTTCTGTTTAGTGACTTTTCTGAGCAGTGCCTACAACACCCAGAGCCTTCAAAAGAACTCCGTCTTTCACGACTTGCAGCCGGATGAGATAGATAAGCTGTATTCAGCTTATGGAGACGAGACAGGGGTGCAATGTGCTCTGAGGTAAAATTGAGGGCTTTTGAGCAAGGTTATGCTCCGATAGTAACAAAAACAAAATTCCAGTGCAGAATTTGTTCCTTACTTTCTTTTTTAAATGGTTACAGTTTACAGGACTTTGTAAAGGGCTGTGGAAGCATCACCAAGCTCTGGGTTGATCAACTTCTAGACAAAATGACGGGCGGCGATCACGCAAAGGCAGTCAGTCAGGTTCGACAGGTGCAGTATCTGATTTTAGCTTCAAATTTTGTTTTTACCACAGTTTGTTTGGTGACATTCTGCTGGATGTATGACGATTATTTTACATTTCAGAAAAGAAACATGATGTTGAAACCCGATGAAAGCAAGTCCAGCAGCTGTGACCTGCAGGTTGGCTGTCAATCATCCATCAACATACAGTAAAGTAACAGTTTGTTGGTTTACCACTGACTGATCTGTTTGATACTCTGTGTATTTTCATTCAGATGTCAGATGGGGTTGGCCTCGGAGAGAGCAGCTCAGTCCTGGATTTCATGTCATTGAAGAGCTATCCTGATATGTCTCTGGATATCTCCATGCTTAACCCATTAGGTGATTATCTATTAACACGATGTGTGTATGCATGTACACGTATTTGAGTAAAACGGTCGTAACATCATTGGGGAAGTAAAACAAGGAAGGTGGAGCCAGTGTGAACATAACACTGATTATCATACTCTTGCTGTCTGCCTCCAGGTAAGCCAGTGAAAAAGGAGCCTGGAAATGACGAAGCCCACCAGCATTTTGACGACCCTAGTAAGCTGCTACAGGAGTTCCAGGAGGTTCAGGTGGACAGAGTCTCCTCCAGACCTTCGTCCAACTTGTCCTCCCTTTCCAACGCCTCTGAAAGAGACCAGCACCACTTAGGTATTTGTAGCAGGAGCGACTTTTAGACTTTGCCTATCGGTGCAGCCTTCGTTACAGATCAGCCATTTCAGTGCACATAAAAGTCCTGTTTTCTTGTGTCCACAGGGAGCCCATCACATCTGGGTGTTGGAGATCATTCTGAAATGATTCATGATCCCTATGAGTTCCTGCAGTCTCCAGAACCAGAGGGCTCAGACAACAGCTGACTCTACACATAGACTTTCTGTTTTCTTTGTACGAAGAAACAATGTTAAACTGTGTAATCATCACTCAGATTTGTTTTAAAAACTAAAATTAAGTGTACAGGCTGGATTGTATTTGTATGGTTTTGTATGAAGGCAACTCATAAATATGTGTATGTGTAATCACAAGTGTGTTGTTCATTTGGGGCTGAGATGGTGGGGGGCAGGGCAGCCGACTCGGGACCCGAAGGTCTTGGGTTTGATCCCCGGTTATTGCACATCTCATGGTGTCTCTGAGCAGGTCACCCCATCCCCAGTTGCTCCCTGGGCATCAGGCACCTCCAAAGACCGCCCACCCCTCCGCCTGGCGGTGGATGAGTTAAATGTAAAGAGCCAATTTTGCCATTGCATGGGAACAATGATGACAATACATACACATTATTATTATTATTATTATTAATTAACAAACTAAAATCTTTAAACCACTGCATTTCTATGCCATGAGAGTGTTATTAAATTTCATACATATATAGGACATTTATAGTAAAAAAAAAAGAGGTTTAAGTAAAACGAAAAGCTTTATTGTTTACTGGTTTAAGGAACTCATATAAAAATGGCTAACATGCATTTGCATGTAACGTAAATAAAAAAAAAAACTGGGCTGAAAGTTATGAGGGGGAAGTTTTAATATTTTATCTTTTGTGTGCAAATATCTGTGGCTCTCATGGCACAGTCTTAGGGTGGCTCATAATGCCAGCTGCACAAAGAAAAGCTGCATTTTATTCTAAGTCTAAAACAAGGAGTCGGATCGCGCATGCGCAGTGTCACAGTTGCCATAGCAGTTCTCAGAGCCGCTGAGTTGATTCTCCAACTTCTGGCTGACGTCCTTCAGTGACAACAAGGACACAAAACAATTTAACCAGGACTGCGAGCAACTGAGAACCTCCCCTGTTGTAGCTGTGGGCTTCTTGTAATGTGGATGTATATTTAACGCACCTGCACGGCTGATAAACTACGTCCAGGTAATAAAAAATGCGGCGGAAATCTCCGTTTGCGTGGCAGAAACCGTAGGAGTGGATGCGTTTGTCCTTTAGAAATGTAAGTAATTCATCTGAATCACTTTTTTTTTATTATATTTTTTTAAATAGTTTTTATGTGGGATGTTTTTATAGTTTTGAGGGAGTTGGCTTGTTTTTGAATAAAACAAACAAAAAAATGTTTGCTATTCACTAGTTCATTTGTTTAACAAAATATGAATTGTCGATTTTACTCGAATAAACTTTATATATGACGTTAAAAAACATGTAATTATCTCATTTTATCTGTATTTTGTGTATGCTGTTTTTAAACCGAAATATTTTCACAATAAAAGCACTAAAACAAAGGTTGACCTTTGTCTGACCTTGTCCCTCAGGATCATCTGCTTTCTGAAGGGTTTCTTAGTAAGTGTCTCATCGTTTAAATAAGTTAGCGTGCTATTACTATCACACTCGTGCGATTTTACTAAATTAAAGTGTTTAAAAATCAGCTGTCATTTATTTTGTCGGGCTGTCAAGTTTGCATATAGTTCTATTTTGTTTATACATCTGAATGTAGACTACTTGTTCATCCTTTGTGCTGAAAGTACAGAGTGAGTACAGGTCAGAGTTGCTGTCGTTATCTCCAGCTTATTTTCCTAACTCATTTCCCCAGCAAATGTGGATGCACACTGTGGGACCAGTGTGTGTGCGTACTAAAATACAGCCTGTCGCTCAATCTGCTCTCCTGTTTCAGATGAACTGCTTCACTCGGAGGTTGAGGCGCACGGCTCCCGCACGAGGCAGCAGCAAGAACGAGCTGGTCCCCTCCAAGCCCCCCAGGATCAACGGATGGTCGTGGCCCCTGCAGCCTCTGCAAGTTCTGGGGTGGCTGGTGTACAGCTACCTCGCCATAGTCGGCTTCGGAGTTCACATCCCTCTGCTGCCTCATTTGTGGAGCCATTTGGCCTATTCTGTATCCTTCTCATGCAGGGGGAACACTGCTGCCAGTGTAATGCACTGCTGAACGTGCAGCAGTGGGGCGTTAATATCTGATATCCGTTTGTTTGGGCTGCTGGACAAGACAAGGATTTTGTTGTGTGGCTTGTTTGTATAGAGTGCAGTCATAGACGTGACTGTGTCTGTTTTTCTTTGCTCTTTATCAGGCTGGAACGGCTCAATCAGTGGCCTTTTTGTTACACAGCATGATGTCAACACACAAGTTAATTTTACCTAAGCCGTACTGAGTCAGAGGTGCTGCTGATGCCCTTTTCACACAAAAAAACTCCACTTGTTTCAAACGGCTGTTTTTAGTCTCTTTTATGTATTTATTTTTTAAATCGTGCAAAACATGACGAACAAATATACTCGGGCAACTCGGAAAAAGGCAAACCCCTCTAGTGAGGTAAAATAAAACTATAAAACAAAAGAACATCAGTGCAGCGTTTTAAATTCTTGCGTGCAGTTATGATGAGAGAACAGTAATAGAAAGCAGAACAAACGTTACAGCGAGACGAGTATAAACGGACACGATCCAAGAATAAGCAGAAGCAGCTAATTTACTGAGCAGCTTCAGTGTTGTAGTCCTTATAGACTTTCAGATTTTAAGGCTTTACCTCTCAGGACATCATTTTAAACGAACAATGTTTAAATAAAACGCATCATCTTGTACATTGTGTCGTTATTCAACTAAATGTTGTAGCATCCCATAATTCACTGATCTGAACCGTCTGCTGTGAATTAAAAAGCACTCCTTGAAGGAATGCACATAGCCCACCACAAAGATCTGTCAGCACCCAGTATGTGTTGGGATGACTCTCAGCTACTACCACACTTTAGCTCCATATCTATAAAACTGTTCGAGGTATAAGCATTTTTGTGTTTGCCATTGTCACTAAGCTGTGGCAGCCATCTTGACTCCAGACGATAATCAGCTGTGGATGTACATCTACTTTCTGAGAATTTCGTTGAAATCCGTTTAGTTCTTCATGAGATATTTTGCGAACAGACAGCCAAAACACGCAGACACAGTGTTTGATGTAATCAGCCTCTTGCTTTGTAGTAATAATTTGACTCTCATCTTCGCGTTGCTTCAGCTGTTTGAGGTTTGCAGACATTTGTTTGCACACAGCTGCTTCAAGCTTTCACCATAGTATTTCAATCAGGTTGAGGTCTGGACTTTGACTGTGCCATTGCAACAAATTGATTCTTTTCTCTTTCAGCCGTTCTGTTGTAGACGTGCTGCTGTGCTCGGGATTCTTTTCCTGCTGGGTCCGTTTGAGCTAAAGTTTGGTTGTCCAACAGGCGGCATTAGTTGTTGCAAACATCTATTGATGCACTTCATCATTGATAGTACCTGGTGTCATAAGGGGTTTTAGGTCTTTCAACATCAGACCCCCCTCTCCCAGGCATCCCAACTGGGAGTGATCAATTCCAAGCCCGTGTCCAAGAAGAATTGTTGAACCCACTGCCAACAAAGTCCATGCTCAATAATCCAGGTACAATCCAAACAATTTTCAGTCAGGTCATCTGGACAGTTTCTTTTTTTTTTTTTTTTTTGTGCTGAAACGTTTCACCTTCTACCCAGAAGGCTTCATTAGTCAAGGAAAACACCAGTTTTGAACCAGTTTGACATGACTGTCGACGAGGGAGAGGGCGGGCACCGGAGGAGGGGGCATGCCAAAGACACCATCTTAGCACCAACATAACTGGTTTGTTCCACTTTGGAGTAAGCTGTTTGGGGGAAGAATCAGTTTGGTGTTGTGTGTTTCCTTGACTGATGAAGCCTTCTGGATGGAAGGTGAAATGTTTCAGCACACACAAAAAAAGAAACTGTCCAGATGACCTGACTTAAAATTGCTGGATTAACCCACTGCCTGTCGCTCATGACCCACAACCATCTTGAGGCTGTCTTTGCCACCTCCGAGGCCTTGTTGATGGCTTTCCTTTTACATGCTCTTGTAATGCCCAGAAGGCATAGCGTACTTCCAGCAAAGCCCCCACCTTCGATGGGCATACATCGAGTGCGGCAGTTTTCCACCAGCTCAGTGTTTTTCCCTTCATTAGGCCTTCCATCCTCTCCCCCCAGAGCACCGTTAACTCTAGCATAACCACTTGCTTAGATTAAAAACAAAACCCACAATATCAGGTCTGAGGCTGGTTTTTGTGATGTTTCCTGGAAATCTGAGTTGTTTATCCTGGTCCACCCTCATCTGCTTGTCCCGTTCTGATCCCAGGAATCCCTGTTGAGCCTTTGATTGGCAATTATACTGTTCTCCTGCTCGAACGAATGTGGTCTGGCATCTTGAAGGTTTGGGATGTTTGTTCTGGTCAGTGGGAGTACACAAGGACTCCCCCACCACCTTTAGTACCTGGTCATGCCGCCATCAATAGTCGCCCTCGCTTAGTGCTTTGGAACTGGTATGGAAATTGTTTGCGTTTCTCTTTTTGGTACAGGGGGCTCGTAGCTAAAGGTGAGGCGTCATATCATCTGTTTATGTGTGTGTGTGGTGGGGGGAGGGGTTGTCTTTTAGTTAAATATCTTATGAACAACTGGACAAATTTTAATAAAATGCTCAGCAAATAATCATTCGTTCATTCAACCTTTATTCATATATGTTAATCCCACTGAGCCTGGGGGCCTCATTTACAAGGGAGACCTGACTTTTAACAAAGAGTGATGACAACAGTGGACAACAATAGGCAATCATAAAGGATGCGTACAAATTAAAATGTATTATTATTTTTTTTTTTTTAACAAGTAAAAATAAAATGGTAATTAAAAGGATAATTTAAAGGAAAAGTAGCAAAAAAACCAGCTAGGTTGTAAGGCGATGTAGAAAACTAAAAACAGGAACATGTCTGCATTCGTTTTTACCAGGAACTTAGCAGATGTTTGAAGCCACTTAGAGAGGTCAAGGTCGAGAGCTTCAGATCTTTTTGTAAGATGTTCCAGGAAACAGGAGCGGATTAGAAGGCCCTTTAGCCTAGTTCAGTCCACACTGAGGGAACACTGCAGGTAATAGTGTCCTGAGAGCGCACACTGTAACTGCACTCACGCAGAGACATGTAGGAGGAGATGTATGAAGGCAGCAGACCAAGAAGTGATTTAAAGATGAAAATGTACCAGTGAGAGAGTCTGCGTGAAGTTAATGATGTCCAGTTAACCAGTGAATACAGGGTGCAATGGTGGTAGGGTACAGTAGTTACAGCCAGTTATGAATCTTAGTGCACCATGATAGACAGCATCCAACATCTGCAGGGTGCTTGTCAGAGTCAGAGTCAGAGTTTCTTTATTGTCATTCGCACCTCATGTGGTACATGTGGTGGAGCGAAATTATGTACACGGGGTCCCAGTTACATCCAACAATAAAATGTATAAGAAAAACAGTAATAACATCTAAGATATGAACTAAGAAAAACATCAACTAAATATACACTAAGCACTTATAACATAAAAACATTGAACATCAGCACAAACATGAACATGAGTCTGTGAGCAGATGTGCACGCAGAACACATCAACATTGAAACAGATCAGCAGCAACATTGAAACAGATCAGCAGCAACATGATATGGTTTTTCACAGTGATTATTCTAGTTAGAGATTCATGAGTCTAACAGCCTCAGGGTAGAAGCTGTTCCTCAGTCTAGTGGTTCTACACTTAATGCTCTTTAACCTCCTTCCTGAGGGGAGTGGGGCAAAAAGTGTGTGTGCTGGGTGAGTGGGGTCCTTTGTAGGAGCGTTCATGTAAATAATGTCACCGTAATCAATGGAGGGAAGGAAAGTCACAGTTACAAGGCGGTTCCTAGCGTTCAGGGTTAGACTGGATCTATTTCTGAAAAAGAAACCCAATTTAACTTTCAGTTTCCTTACCAAGTTTTCCACATGCAGCTTAAAAGAGAGATGCGAATCGACCAAGATACCCAAATATTTTTAGGAATCGACAAACTCAATAGGAACACGAGGATAAAATCGACAATGTTTGGATGTTTAGAGTTTTTCCTTAACTCTAATCTTTTTCCAGGTTACTGGCATATCATTTATTGCACACTTTTTCACCCATATTGCTGCCGTGACGATCGATCCAGCAGATGGAAGTGTGAGGGCCAAGAAGAGCTATTCTACCCCGCTGCCTCTGTTTGACCGGACGAAGCGAGCGCATGTTATCCAGGATCAGCACTGTTATCTGTGTGATGTCAAGGTGTATGTATCCTAAATCAGTTGTAGTGTTGTAAGTCATTGCTGTTGCATGTTTAAGATTTAAAATGTTCAGTTTCTGTTGTTCAAACATGCTATTCTGGGCAGAGTCTGGCTCTACTTTGGTTTTTGTTTGCAGCTTTGAGAAGCATGTTTGTTTGTTTTTGTTTTTTTCCCCCTTCAAACAATCTCAGAATTCTATTTTTAGTAGTTTTTTAACTATACAGTACAGTGCAAAAGTCTTGTGCTGACATTTTTTTTTACATCTTTCTTCCAAGAAGCCAGACCTTAATGTCTTTATTTTAAAGTGGTCCTGATTAGATCGTCAGGCTTGGAAAACATGATGAACGTTTTTCATTTTGTTGAGCCACCTATGAATCATTCAGACATTAAGAAGCTCCTAAACTCTAAAGACAAACTAGCATTGTGACAACTTGGTAAAAGATCAATTTTAGAATGTATCTTTAGGTTCTTTGTTACCAGCCAGGACTTCAACTTCACCATATTGGACTGCAGCTGGCAACATCAGCCTTTGCTTTTTTCTTTGAAAGATTGCCGGCCTTTTTAACCAGAACCTGCACAATTTGGTGTTTTATGAAGTTTTCCAATCTGTGGATCAATAAGAACTTCTGTTGCTCTTCAAGACAGTGGAACCAAGGTCCACTGGGGCAACAACAGTTGTGCTGGCAGCAGAAAGGCAGACAACTGACACTAAAACATCTCCATCTTCTACTGCTTTTCTGTGGTTGGATCATAGAGGCAACAGGTCCAGGAGAGGAACTGTTGGATAAAAATATCTTCTATTCATTTTATTTACTTAAAGAAGCCACACTCAAAAGGAGAAGATTTTTAACCAGTTTTACTTGCAAGGGTAGACTTTCACAACAGGTTACACAGATTTCCAGAAGTTACATGCATGGAGAACAGTCAGGAGAATCTGCCACGGGCAGTGTGCGAGGCTTGTTTTTAAAAGCTTATCACCTCCCAGCTTGGCAGACTGGTGTCCTTGGCAATCCAGTTGCACAGGCAATATCCTCGTTCAGTTCTCTCCAAGAGAGAAAATAACTCAACTTAAACACATGGTCCATGGGCAGTTAACATTCTCCAGCCATAGTAGTTAAAACATCCATAAGCCTTGACCAAAATACTCTGACAGAAACCCAGACATCTCCCTCTCCAGTGACACTCCAGCTCCTCCTAGGGGACCCCAAGTTGTTCCCAGCTCAGAGAGGATACATTGGGATACACTGGGTCTGGTCTTTTCAGTCTCCATCCAATAGGACATACACGGAAAATCAGACATCCAGGAGCCATCCAAATTAAATGCTACAACCACCTATCGATTCCACCAGCAGTCATATGCTGAAGTGTCCCTGGGTAAGACACTGAACCCCTCATTGCCTCTGATGTGTGTCCCATCGGTGTATGAATGTGATAAAACACTGATTAGTCATGGTCTAGATCTAGTAGAGTGCTGTATGAATGGGTAAACGAGGGTACAGATTGTAGTGTAAAGTGCTTTGAGTATCTTGATAAGATAGAAAAGCACTATATAAGTGCAGTCCATTTACCAGTTTACCTTAAATGACCCCTTTTGATGCAGAGGAGCAGCGGCTCTACTCGGAGCAGATGACGGAGCTCCGCACCCTCTCTCTAAGGCTGAGCCCAGCCACCCTACGAAAGAAGCTTGTATCCGAGTTCTTCTTTCGGTCCTGATCCAAACCTCATGACCACAGGTGGTGGTTTGAATGTAGACAGACCAGTAAATCAAAGGTTTTGCCTTTCGATTCAGCTTTCTTCACCACGACCGACTGAAGCAACGCCCTCATTACTGGAGGACGAGGCCACCAGGCCATTTCCCACATTATCCTACCATGACTAGTTTGAACTCCTCCACCTGAGGCAAATACACTCAATCGGGTATATTCAACTGGCGGTCTGCGGACCACTTCTGGCCTGCGGGTGACTTCAGTCCGGCCCACCAATGAGTTCATAAAATAAAGAATTGGG